TTGATGATTTCAGTGTGAAATTGTGATAGTGGTATTAATTCTTGAAATATCTTGATTAGGTTCTTGATCGTCCTGTCAGTTTAGTACGTGAATTGAGTGCTCGGTTTTATGCGAGTGAGGTAAGTAAATTTATGGTATTGCTCGTATAGTTTTAAAAGCATGTTTTGATTTGTTTTTGAAATGGTGGCGGGACTAAACCCGTTTTATGCAAAAGTAAGTATGATTGATTTAAAGTGAAATTTTATGCTTTTCGTTAAATTGAGCATGCCTACTTGAGATTTAATTGATTGTCCTGATGATTTGGAAGTGATTGGTGAATTATGTTCTTCAGTTAAATTCAGCTTGTTTTGTCTCCGATATGGTCATGTTATCCTGTTGCCCGTTAGTGGGAGTGTTAAACGCTAGCACATGTCGACATGTATTTCTGTAGAACCGGTTCGTTTCTGTTATCCTGCTAGTGGGAGTTAAACACTAGCAATTCCTGTTGCCTGCCAGTGGGAGTGTTAAACACTGGCCGTGACCTATGGAGGAGACGTCTATTTCGTTCCCGCACTGTATCTGTTTTTCGTGATTGTACTTGTTGGCATGCTATAAGTTTAACAAGGGCACTCTATATTTAGTTACTGAGTTTATCTCATAGTTTTTCCTTGTCCACCATTTCAGTAAGTGAAATTGAGGACGGGGAAACCACGGGAAGTGACGAGTTAGAAGGCTAGCCATATTGTAATTGGACATAAATTTTAGATATGAATCATGATCTTGTATTTGGAGATTTTATGATATCAGAGAGATTTTATAATTTGATCTTCAGATTTTGGTGGTATCAGAGTGTGATGTGATAAGTTCCGAGCCTTGTGCATTTGTGGGACCCGTCTCACGAGTGCACGGCGTCTGCCACGTCCCCGGATTTGGGTTCTGGGGCGTGACATTGTTAGTGATGGAAATACTTAACCAAGAGTTTGATTTGTTATGTCTTCTTAAATAGTTTGCCCTAAGTAGTTATTTTACATTTAATAAAAGAATAAATCATTTTAGAATATATATATATTTCTTTTATAATATTTGAATATTTCCTCTTTTGTTTCCTTTGTCTTTATTTTAAGACTAAGTGGACTTGAATGGTGCTAAAAACAATGATAGCAACCTATATTTTATTGATCATGGCATAATACATACCATCTTGAAAATAAAAATTATTTTTCTTAATTAAAATTAATTGAGACTAATGTTTGTACAATATCTAGCGTAACAAATTTAATTGAAGGCTCTAGAAAAACTTGTGTTTTGTTACTTGAAGGAACAAAATTATTAATATTTGAAGCTCTGTACTCTAGTAGATCAAATTCAAATCTATTAATTTTTAAATATATACGTCATAATGGTTTTTATATTGAAACCATGAATAAAAATGGAATACAATTCCTCCATATCACAACTTTTGCATTTGGAAAAAAAAAATTAGATAAAAATGTTAACTTTCTCTTTTGGATTGTATTATACATATATACATCCAATATAGACATACAATAGAATTTGATGTTATGATTAACTACAAATTAGTCAATCTAAATACCTTTATAATTTGTCATAATTGACTAGGTCATTCAGGTGCTATATGAAGTAAAGAATTATAAAAAGTTTACATGGACATCCACTAAAAAAACTTAAAAATTCTCTTTTCAAATGACTTTTCATGTGTTGCTAACTCCCTTAGTAAATTAATTACAAGGTCTTTTGCAACTAGAATAGAAAATGAATCTCCTTCATTTTTGGAATAGACTCAAGGAGATATATGTGGGCTTATAAACCCATTATAACATCCCCTCTAGAGTAACCATAGGTCCATCAAGTGGGGAAATGTATTGCATAGCTAAGTAAAGAAAAATACAAAAGAAATCTATAATATCAAAATATTCAGTTATATGCTTTTCCCAAGCTCAATACAATACAGATAAATTTAAAGTTATAGAGCCAAATGAAAGTTTTGGGCAGATACAGATTTGCTTTACTGAAATTTGCAGCATAACTTACAGTTAGCATAGGGCCTCCACCCACAAAATTCTTAGGAATAATAGTTATCCTTCACTGCTGCTATTTGAAATGGTGGGAATAACACCATGAGCTCATGGCTCAATAAGTATAATTCTCAATCTTAAGTTAAGTTACTAATTAAATCTTTAATATCTTGTGGAGAAAAATTCCTTTAGTTCTTAGCTGTATGAACATTGTAGAAAATTGAGGTATTGTAGTCATAAATGATCACACACACAAAACACATCATAATAGTGATAACACAAACTATGGAATCCACTAAATGTGCATCCATTCACATTTGGTGCTACAACTAGTCATAGCACTTGCCTACTACGTAGAGGTCCACTGGTTCATTGTTCTAACCCGCAAGCCTAAGCTAGGGTCCAAACTATCCATAGTTCTAAGGAAATTACATCAAAAATCATTTATAGCACATAAACATGCATAACAGATTCAAAGTTTGCTTTATTCGATCTGTAAAACTCATAGAAATAGGTTATAATGAAGTGCTCAAGTCAAATACATAAGACATAATCCAGAGAATGTGATACACATAATATATTAGTCCCAAAATTGGAACTCATCTAACTACAGAAATTTCACAACTTTAGCACATGAAATTTCTGTTTCTTTGTGCCTATGTATTTATTTCTCTCTATATTATATAAATTATTCTGCAACACCTTAATTTCTTATATATATATATTCTGTCTAATTTATTTACCTTCTTATTTTTATTTGACAACTTTAGCTTAAAATTAAGAGCCACACTTACCTACACACTTTCTTCAAAACCTTGAACTTGGTAGAATTCTTCAATATTCCCCTAGTCTGCTTAACCTATATGCATTGTCCTTCTCCTTCTCCTTTGGTCCAGCTATAGGCAAAATGTAAGAAATAGCCAATTTAGTGATATGGCTCAAGAGTCCCAGTCAAGTGGGGAAGTGGGTCTTAAATGCTCCTCACTTGGCCCATTTCTCATCCAACCACTTGTTATTAATTTTAACAGGTTGTTGATAGTTGGAAGGTATTAAATTCTCCTAAAGATAGACACTAGGACTGTAGTTCATTAAATTAACATGCAATCCCTTAATTAACAAATATTATATATTTGTTCCTAATTCTAAATAAAGTGGAAGACTTTAACTTTAGACTTATTGCAAATTGGGACCTATTTTCTTTAACTAATTACAAATAAAGACTGAGATATCACATTCTTCCTTCCTTAAAAGATTTGGTCCCTAAATCTGTTCTTACCAGAAAACAACTGAGGATATTGTCTTCTAATCTGCTCTTCTAGTTCCCTGGTAGCTTTTCCCTTAGTGTGGTGTTTCCAGAGAACTTTAACCATAGGAATAACTCTGTTTCTTAACACTTTCTCCTTCCTTTCTAAAATCTATACTAGTTCTTCAACATAACTTAAATCTTCCCTAAGTTGTAAGGATTCATTCTTGATGATGTGTGAGGCATCTGGCTCATATTTCTTCAAAATTGACATATGGAAAACATTGTGCAACTTTGACATTTTAGGTGGCAATGCAATCCTGTATGCTACCTCCCCAACCCTTTCTAAAATTTCAAAGGGTCCAATGAATCTCGGTTTTAGTTTCCCTTTCATGCCAAATCTATTTATGCCTTTTGAAGGTGAGACCTTTAAAAACACATGTTCTCCCACTTTGAATGCTAGTGGTCTTCTTCTCTGGTCTGCATAAGCCTTTTGCCTATCCTGAGCTACTTTCAATTTCTGCTGGATCAATCTCACCTTTTCTGTTATTTTTTGAACTATTTTGGGTCCTAACATCTGTGATGGGAATCAAGATGACCCCACATGTACCACGTCAAGAGATCCATCACACATTCCAGGAGGTCCAGTCACGAGAGCTAGAGTTAGGAAGATGCGAGAAGCTTTAAATGGCCTTATTGAGCAGATCTGGGTTGATAACAACATGCAACAAGTAAATCAAAGCTTGGATGATTATCAGGGCATGGTAAACATCATTCAGATTCAAGAGAAGCTTAATTGAGGTCACTTATGCTAAATTACACAATTTGCGTCAAAATCCCGCAATTTTGTCGCAATTCGTAACAAACTAATATTTCATGATACTTTAGGTTACTTTCAGTGATTTTAACGTTTTTTGTATTATTGTGGGCTGAACATTCATTTATTTGAGGTCCAATTTTCATGGTTATTAGATTAGGGTTTAGGATGTTAGTTTCTTATTTTGATTAAAATTACTTTTCCCTATTTAAAGGGCTTGTAACCCTAATTGGGGGGGGGGAAGCGATGGAATCTGAGTTTTTGAGAGACTTTTCTCTTTGGTTTGTATCAAAACTTTACAGAACTTATTAAGATTATGCTTGTGGCGTTCTAACCTGACTTATCATTCTCATTCTTAATCGTTCGAGGGTATGGCGTCAACTAACTTTATACCTCTGGTTCTTGTTGCGTCATAGACAACGGGTCAAGGATTTTACCTTTGGTTCTTGTTGCGACATAAACAACGGGTTAAGGTCCTATTATAAACCTGATTTGACTTTCCTGAAGTTTAGAAATCCCTTGTCGTGTTGTGGGTCTCATTGTTATCTATGGGATTCTCATCATCTTGGTATCAGAGCATTAGATCCTAAATCAGGTTTGCGTATCTTTAATTTTCAGTTTTTATCTTCAAAAACAAAACAAAAAGATTCTTCTTTTTCTTATTTTGCTTTTCTGAATCTGTGTTGCTAGTTCAAAAAGAGAGAGAGAGAGAGAGAGAGAAAAAGCATGAAAATAAGAAAAAAAAAAAAAGGAGGAAGTCGTACGAAAAAAAGGGAAAAGGATCGCAAAAAAAAAAAAAGACGCAAAAAAAAAAAGACGCAAAAAAAGAGAGAGAGAGAAACAAGCAACACAATTCTGTGGTTAGAATTCCTTATATAGAGAAGAAATCTATGGCCAAATCCTTAAAGATGAAGGAATCCTACTCAAATAAGGACTTGGAAATTCTCTTTGAGTTCTATTCAAACAAGGAGATAGCAATTTTGTTTATTCCTTCCTAAATTAGGAATCCGACTACATTAAGGAATAGTTAAGTCAATTTCTACTAGGAAGTGCTTGAACTAATCTGTTTGTTTTAATTTGTTTGGGTTTGGTTCTTTTATTGCTTTTCTTGGTCGTTCCTTTGTGTCTTTCTGTTTCCTTTAACTCTTGTAGATTTGTTCGAGTTAGATTGCTGCAAAATAACTTGAATTGAGCTTGTTTAGTTCAATAACGAACTGAAAGAGGAAAGTTGAGTGAGGGAAAAAGGCAAAAGGTGTGAGCAGCACTTGAGAGAAAAGCCAAGTTCTACATTGTGTAAAACACGAGCATTGAGTGTCATTCTGTGAGAGAGTGGAGTGAAACACGTAAGGGAGTGTTGTGAGGTCCTTTTATTCTTCTGTTTCTAACATTTGTTGTAGGTTTCAATCATGTCAAGCAGTGATGACAAATCAACCACTAGAAGCCACCATGTGGATGAATCCTTCATGCTCAAAGCAATGCAACAACAATTTCAGAGGCTGGACATCATGTTTGGTGAGATTAAAGACAAAATGGACATGCAAGATGCAGCGATAGCCAAGTTATACCAAACACAGAATGGAAGTCCGAATTTGTGTAGGAATGATGCTAATGACGATTTCAGTGACAATTATGAAGATGCACTCAACAATGATGCCTAGAACTCAAATTTCAGCATGGACAGAATTATGAGAGGTAGAGGGGGCCAAAGAGAGCAAAATCTGACGAGATGGGGAGATCGACAAGATTGTGACTTAGGTATCATCACGATGAAGATTCCTTCGTTTCAAGGTAAAATGATCCAGATGTGTATTTGGAGTGGGAAAATAAGGTGGAATTGGTGTTTGATTGCCATAACTATTCTAAGGAGAAAAAGGTGAAACTAGCAGCTGTAGAATTTACTGATTACGCTGTGGTGTGATGGGTTCAGCTTGTGCTTAGTTGACGTAGAAATTGAGAGTGTCCTGTTGACACTTGGGAAGAGATAAAAGCTGTGATGAGAAAACGATTTGTTCCTAGTCACTACTACCATGATCTCTATCAGCGATTGCAGGGCCTTACTAGGGTCCAAAAGTGTTGAGTATTATCACAAAGAGATGGAAATCGCAATGGTTAGAGCGAATGTGGAAGAGGACAAAGAAGCAACTATGGCACGGTTTCTACATGGCTTAAATTGTGATATAGCTAATGTGGTAGAGCTGTAACATTATGTGGAATTAGAAGATATGATGTGATGAGAACCCCAAAGAGAACAATGAGACCCACAGCACGACAAGGGATTTCTAAACTCCAGGAAAGCTAAATTAGGTTTATAATGGGACCTTGACCCGTTGTTTATGTCGCAACAAGAACCAAAGGTAAAAACCTTGACCCGTTGTTTATGACGCAACAAGAACCAGAGGTATAAAGTTGGTTGACGCCACACCCTCGAACGATTAAGAACGAGAATGATAAGTCAGGTTAGAACGCCACAAGAATAATCTTGATAAGTTTTGTAAAGTGCTGAAACGAATCAAAGAGAAAAGTCTCTCAAAATCTCAGATTCAATTCCTTCCTCAATTAGGGTTACAAGCCCCTTTAAATAGGGAAAAGTAATTCTAATCAGAATAGGAAACTAATACCCTAAGTCCTAATCATAATAACCATGAATTGGGCCTTAAATAAATGAATGTTCAGCTCAAAATAATATAAAAAACGTGAAAACCACTAAAAGTAGCCTAAAGTAACATGAAATATTAGTTTGTTACAAATTGCGACAGAATTGCGAGATTGACGCAAACTGTATAATTTAGCATAAATGACCTCAATTAAGCTTCTCTTGAACCTGAATGATGTTTAGCATGCCTTGATAATCATCCAAGCTTTGATTTGCTTGTTGTATGTTGTTTTCAACCCAGATCTGCTCAATAAGGCCATTTAAAGCTTCACGCATCTTCTTAGCTCTAGCTCGCGTGACTGGACCTCCTTGGGTGTGTAATGGATCACATGACGTGGTAGATATGCTGTCGTCTTGATTCCCATCATGATGCATATGGCGATGAAAGTAGAATGGCAACTCAAGCGTAAAGGAGCTGCCAGCAGAACTGGGCAAAATTTAGGTTCCTCATCTTCTTGGAAACTGAATTGGAGCAAAAAGGAAGAAAATTCTGCTTTTAAGCTTAAAACTACAACATCTAAGTCAAAAGAAGTTGTCAATAATGAGAAGAGTCAAGTGTTTAAGCCTAAAACAGATAATACACAAGGCAGAACCCAAGACATCAAGTGTTTTCGATGCTTGGGAAGGGGGCATGTCGCATCACAATGTCCTAATAAGCACACGATGATCTTGAGAGAAGATGGGGAAATTGAAACTGAGGGTGAATTTGATGATGGATCTATGCCACCATTAGAAGATGCTAATGATGGTGTGGAATATGCCGTTGATGGAGAACTGCTCGTCACCAGGCGAGCTTTGAATGTGCAAGCCAAAGAAGATGATGAAGTATAACGTGACAATATATTTCACACGAGGTGCCATGTCAAAAACAAGATATGTAGTGTGATTATTGATGGTGGTAGTTGTACTAATGTAGCTAGCACTATTTTAGTTGAAAAGCTTAATTTACCCATGACGAAGCATCCAAGGCCACATAAGTTGTAATGGTTAAATGATTGTGGAGAAATCAAGGTAAATAAGTAAGTTATGGTTTCATTCGCTATTGGACGATATAAGGATGAGGTACTTTGTGACGTGGTTCCTATGCATGTTGGACATTTACTTTTAAGGAGACCATGGCAATACGATAGGAGGGTAACACATGATGGGTTCAAAAATCGCTATTCATTTGTCATAGAGGGGAAAACAATTACTGTTGCACCATTGAGTCCAAGGCAGGTTTATGAGGAGCAACTGAGAGTAAAAAAAGATAATGAGGTGAGAAATGAGAGTGAGGTTGAGGTTGAGGGTATGAAAAACAAAGACAAAATAGCAGAAAAAGAGTCCAAAAACAGAGAAAAGATTGAGAGTGTTGAAAACAAAGAGAGAAAATCAGTAAGTGTTTATGCAAAAGAAAGTGATGTCAAGGCTGCGTTCTTTGCAAAGCAGCCTATGTTTGTGCTTCTGTATAAAGATGCTTATTTCAACACTAACGAACTTAATGA